CTGCCCACCATCCATCTGCTGTGACCCCTTACTCCTTGCCTGGCATTCAGAGCTCTGTGTGCTCTGGTCCTTTTGCCCTCCCAGTCCAGCCTCCCTAGAGCCTTCCCTGCAAGCCCTGGTCCTCCTCACAGCTCCTTGCCTGCAGTATCTCTCCCCATTGCCTGACTCCCCCCACCTCAGTTCAGCCTTGGTCGCTTAAGAGCTGAGGGACCTTGAGTTCTGGTACCACTGCCCATCTATAAAATGGAGTGCATTCACTGAACATGGTGGGGGGAGGGTATTCCCTAATAATCATAATTACCCCCAACACTCACTCTACTCTTATTGTGGGGCCACCTCCTCCCAGGACTCCTTTCTGCCCCATTTCACCAAGAGAGAGGCTGAAACTTGTGTCCTAGGGTCCTGCCAGACAAAACAGGGACATAGAGAAGGGTGAAGGGGCAGCCTGAGTTTCTCCCTGCCTGGACTCAGTGTCCACTGCTGTCTCTAGGACCCCCTGACCTAGCTGTGCACAGAGACTGCTCCTGGGGTATAGTCCAGGGATGCGGACAGTGGGACGGGGGTTATTCCAGAACTTTCATGTCCGCAGAATTCTGGCAGGAGTAGGGTGACACAGCAGTTCCAGGGGTTGTCGGGTCTCAGAGCAGCAGCTGCTAGGGTCGAGTGGTACATACAGGGATGGGAACCATTGGTACACTGTGCATGCTATGAGGCAGCATCTCATGCACACACTGTCTGCAACCCCCATTTGGGCCCCACCATGAATATGAGGCTGGCTGCTCCACCAGAAGTCCACATGAGGTGGGAGGCCGTATGTCCCCTGAGTGTGCCCCACCGCCCCCACCCAGGGGCCAGGTCCATGTTGAGCCAGGCTCACAAGGTTCCATCTCCAGTCCTCACGCTGCAGTCATGTAATTGAGGCCAGAGTACGGACTGGCCCAGGATGGGAGGTGGGTGTCCAGATGGGAAAGGAGGGCTCCAGCCTCCTAGTCTAGGGCTCAGCCATCCGGAGGGATTGCTTTGGGAATGACAGCCTCTAAGATCCTGGGGATCCCTGCCCACTCTTCCTATGTGGGGCCATTTCTTCTAGGCATCCCCACACTAGGGCTGGTGCACACGTGCACAGAAACACACCACCCCCTTCTAACTATCCATCTATGTGTTTAGTATGCAGAGAACATTTTTGAAGTAGATGAGAGACTTAGCAGTATTACCTGTGGAATAGAGCAATAAGATATTAGACATAAAAGCATTCTGGATGTTGTGAGGTTACTTTTACAATACACAAATCGTTTTTTTTTTTTTAATTTTCAAAAATAGATTATAAATTGCAGCAATGTGAGAAAAATATTTTTATATTTCTTTGAGCAGGCCAAAACTGTAGGGCTAACATGTTTTTATAGACATCATTTTTTAAATAATTGTTTTATTGTTGATTACTTGTAGAGAAGACTGACAAACTGTAAATTAAGACCTCACTATTTAGAATGTGCTTCACCTAAGCTTGGGGAATATTATGTGACTCTGTAGAAATGGATTTACTTAGGAAATACAACTAAGGAAAATAATTGTATGATAAAAAAGTTACCTATTAATTGTAGACTTCAATTTGGTTCTCCTGCCCTCTAATGGTCATTTCTCAAACTGCAGACAAAGCCATATTAAGGTGAAACATTTGAAACTATAAAAATACAACCCAGGTGTGTGAATCACATGTCAAATTTTGGAGACTGGAAGAACCTCAGAAATTTTCTCACTCAGTTTCTTCATTTTAACTTTGCAGCATAATCACTATATTTCAGTTACTTACTCTCTTGAGATTACAGACAAAATTGAATTCTGGCATCTCCTATTTGACTTGATAAATTATACAAAATTACAATAATTTTCTGTAATTTTTTTTTCATAGTATAACTTTAGTCTTTGCAACTACTGCACAAAGGGTGTTTTGCAAATAAATACTTTCAAATGTACTCTTTCCTACTGACTTCTTTATGTACTATATTTTTAAATTTCTCATGTACACATTGTGAAGTATACACAATATTATTCAGGCATCATGAGAAAATAAAGTAATATTAAGGGATATTAATAAAACTTAGGAAGTGGTTTCAGGTACTGAGTTTGGTGCCTTAACTTTTCTTCTTTTAAAAATCTGTATCGTTGATTATTTGAATTAAGTTATTTAAACAGAATTATTTGGTAGTATATTTTAATGTTTTAACATATTAGCTTAAGCAACATTTATGTATATTTTCATGTTAATATATGTCAGCCTCAAAAATCTAGGTTCTATAAAAATCAAGAACCAGGACCCATTTTAGAGAAGGCGGGTTTTTAGAAAGTCTAAAAACAGATTTTTTTCATTTTTAATTGAAGAATTTTGATGCAGAAACTAGAGCTTAGTGTCCTTTCCATGATAGACAGAAAGTAGAAGCTTGTGGGCCAAGAAAAAGGTTACCCTGGAAAAGTTACATTGTACCGTATCATGATTTCAGATAAAAATGATTATTGACTTCAAACAGATTTATCAATGTCTATACTTTTAAAGTCCTTTGCCTAAAATAGCTTCATTTAAAAAATTCCTCGAGCATTTCTCTAATAGCCAGTTCCAAATGAGATCATTTCTGATTAAACTGTTAGTCATCTACAGACAGGTCACCTTGGTTAATTTCAGCCAGTAATGACTTTTCCTCCCTTGCATTTCTATGACATCCTGCTTATGCTGCGTACACAACACTAACTTCACACTTAAGAACAATTGGACAATCCCTGAGAACGAAAAAAAAAAAAAGAGAAACATCTTGTAAGAGTTTAGCGCACAAAGCCCATATATAACAGTCAGGCTTAGCTGTTTGTAAAATAACCAGAGATGTGTCTAGAAATGTGTGACTCTTCACAGGTACAAACTGAAGTCTCAGGGAGGCGGACCAGAAACTCAGCCAGAAACAGAAAAGCTCAAATATGGGGCCAGTTGAACTATCTCCTGTGTGAAGAGAGTATTAAAATATTCATGTAACTGTGTTTGTTAATTTAATAACAGCTATGTGAAACACTTAAAACCTATTGTTCAAAATATTAATTCAAGCAATTCTTACCTCTACTCCCAGGAAACGGGTATTCCTATTAACCACAGATTCATGATGAATAAACTGAAATAGACATGTTCAGTAACTTCCAGGGTTTCAATCTAGTAAATGATGGAGCAGGGATATTTCCTGGGTTCTAGGGTCAGCACACATAAACACCCCCACTCTATTCTGCCTCATTAAAAATGTTCTACCTTGGTGAGGATTATTTCTGTGTCTATTTGACTGGTCTACGGGATGCTCAGATAGTTGGTCAAACACTTTTCTGGGTGTTTCTGGATCAGATTAACATATCAGTTGGTAAAGCAGACTGCCCTCTCTAATATGGACAGATCTCATGCAACCAGCTGACGCCCTGAATAGAATAAAAAAGCTGACTGTCTCCTGAATAAGGAATTCTTCCTGCCTGACAGCTTTTGAGGTAGCACATTGGTCTTCTGACTTAGACTCGGAATATAATTTACACCATTAGCTCTCCTGGTTCTCAGGCCTTCGGACTGGGACTGAATGACACCACTGGTTCTCCTGAGACTCCAGTTTGACAGCTGATGTTGGGACTTCTCAGACTTCATAATTATGTGAACCCACACACATACATATAAGTACGTAGTCTGGGAGAACCCAGACTAAAACAGATTTTTATCTTGAGAATGGGGAGATTACACACGACACCTTCATGTGGTAAGCTCTCAAGAATGGGGAAATGTATGTTATTTTTCCATGTATATTCAGCATCTGTTCTAATTCCTGCTGCAGTGTACACTTCCTAAACTAAGCATGTGTTTACTGTGGAGGGAGAAGTGTCCAGATAGTAAGGATTTGCTCTTACTCTTTTCACATAGCACCGGTAGGGAAAGAAAGGAGTCAGACTTTGAGGAAGAGGAATCATTCTTTTATTCACTTATCAGACACTTACATGTGTATGTAGTATGTAGTATGTAGTATGTAGTATAAAACAGACCTTGAACTCAGTGAAAGAATAAGGAGATAAAATACGTAATTCCTACCTTCGTGGACCTCACACTTTTTAGGATAAGTAACATCTATATGGATAAAATCCTAATTAACAGGGTGACTTCCATATTAATCTTAAATAGGTGTGGACCTAATAAATGGAGCTTCTAAATATATGAATTCAAAGCTGATAGAACTGAAATGAGAAACAGATCCACAATCATAGTTTCAATATGCTTATCAGTAATTGATATTAACAAGTAGACAGAAAATCAGTTAGAAGAGAGAATACCTGAACAACTTCATCCACCAACGAGGCATCACTGGCAGGTACAGGGCACTGAACCCACACAAAGCAGAATGCGCATTCTTTTCAGGAGGACCTGGAACACTGTATTCTGCGCTGTAAAATGAGCTTAGTTATGTTTAAAACGATTGAAATCTAACAACATTTGCATCCCTTCTGGCCACAAACCCTTTCCTCTTTGGGTGCAGATGGTGAGCTCGGAAGGGAGAAGGTTGCATGCAGCGGTGACAGGCAGCAACTGCTTGCAATTGTACGAACCTGACCGCAACAACGTCGGACGACGTGAGGGCAGAGGAAGATTGTGAGAGATGTGGAAGACGACCAATGAACAAGGCTCGACCCCTTTTAGTGACGCGACTAGTAGGCGAGGCCTATCAGCCTGGAGTCGCCCCCCTGTTTCTGGCTTGGGTAACTGGATGTTGATTCGGCTTCCCAAAAAATTAAAATAAAAGGCCCCCTCGACTTTTATTTTCCTGCAACAAGAAGAACTGCTCTAACTCTTCTTCTTCTTCCTCAAGCCCCGCCCTCTTACCTACCAGCGGTGGAGAGGGCTCTGCAACCGAAAAGGGGCCGAAAGTGCCGCCGAATTCCGAGGAACGGAAGTAGATTTTACGGAGAGCCGTAAAACACGTTCCTTTCCGGTTCACGACAGCAGCTGCGACCATCTCTGCCGGCCGTCCTCGGGTAAGCGCCTCTGCCGACCCTCGTGAATTCACTTCTTTCCTCATTCCGGGACCTTCCCTACTGTCGCCCCCGTAACGTTGGATCATGTTCAAGAAATTTGATGAAAAAGAAAATGTGTCCAACTGCATCCAGTTGAAAACGTCAGTTATTAAAGGTATTAAGAACCAGTTGACAGAGCAGTTTCCAGGCATTGAACCATGGCTTAATCAAATCATGCCTAAGAAAGATCCGGTCAAAATAGTGCGATGCCACGAACATATAGAAATCCTTACAGTAAACGGAGAGTTACTATTTTTTAGACAAAGAGAAGGACCTTTTTACCCAACTCTAAGGCTACTACACAAATACCCTTTTATCCTGCCACGTCAGCAAGTTGATAAAGGAGCCATCAAATTTGTACTCAGTGGAGCAAATATTATGTGTCCCGGCTTAACCTCTCCCGGAGCTAAGCTTTACCCTGCTGCAGTGGATACGGTTGTTGCAATCATGGCAGAAGGAAAACAGCATGCTCTGTGTGTTGGAGTTATGAAGATGTCTGCAGAAGATATTGAGAAAGTCAACAAAGGGATTGGCATTGAAAATATCCATTATTTAAACGATGGGCTGTGGCATATGAAGACATATAAATGAGTCTCAGAAGGAAAACGCTTGGGCTAAATATGGACATTGTGCTGTGTGTTTTGTGTCTGTGTATGACAGCATGAAGACAGTACCTCTATGGTTATGCTGAATAAATTCAACAGATGCTACAAAAAAAGTAAAGATTTGGAGCGAGTCCGTATGTCTGTGTATCTGTGTCGTTTTCTGTGTGTTTGTGTGAGTGTGTATACCTGTGAATATGTGTCTGCATGTGTTAGAGTGTGTATGCCTGTGCGTGTTCCTTTGCAGAGGGGTGATTAGTTTAGATTTGCCCTTGTCCAAGCAGGTATCAATTCAAACACCAGTAAATTATCTCTTGAAGAAAAGTAGATTTTCATGTCAAGAGCATATGGTTAGTAGACAGAACCAAAGATAGGAGTGAAAAATTGGGAGGAAGAAAGTGACTGGAGAGGGGCCCTGAACAACTCTATTAATATGATTATTTATGGGATAAGCATAAGATGGTAGACAAACTGTTTTACTAGAAGCAGAAAATTCAGAAAATCCACCCAACAAACATGACCCCTTTCCTCCTTGCTGGCAGAAGTCTTGTGTCCATTCCTTTTCTACATGAACCAAGTAAATGCTGATTCGTCTGGGCCCACATGGTGGTCTGTTTCCTGGTGAGACTGATTGATTTGTAGGTAGGCATGGGGCCAAAGGCCAAGTAGGACTTTTCTCTGTTTAGAAGAAAACGAGTGTTTTTCTCCCTTGGTTTTGAATCATTCAGAGGTGGGTATGTGACCTGTGTTGTTAGATACCATAAAAGCTTTCTGGAAAAAGTTTCCAGGCTCTTGAAAATAGATGCATGGGGAGAAACAGCCTTCCTATCCTGAATGGATGTTGGCATATGTGATCATGCTCTTGACACACACACACACGCACACACAATCTTGATGTGCGACAAGTCTGACCATGGTAAACTTGAAAAGTAAGTGTCCTTGATTTATGAACTGGTGATTAACAGCCATGGAGACACCACATAGTGGGATGTCTTATTAAGTGGTGTAGCTAAGTTATGTGAGGTAAAAAAAATCAATTACTGATTATGCCATTTTTACTTGAGGTTTCTGAAACTGAAAGCCAAAGAAAACAACGTTTACAGAATGATATGGACATCCAACTGAAAAATCTTAAAAGGAGGATAATATAGGTCAGGTGAAAGTTCACCAGTGAGTTTTCTATGAGCCATTTCAAAACGTAATTCTATTAATGCAAGATCAATTGTGGTAGATTTACAGGTGAATGGAAAGTGAGAAGCCAGAATGTGGAAGTTTAGACTTCATGTTAGTCCTTACAGACTTTTGGTTATGTATTAAAAGATAATGGGTGAAAGATAGAGGAAGGTTGTAATCAAGATTTTGTTTCAGAGTTTAGATTATTTTTATTTTTTTGTTGTTGCAGGTTTGTTACTGAGATTTCTGAATATGTTTATATGCTTAGGGGAAAGTCACTAACACAGAGGATACTTGACAGGGATGTAATCTGGAATAGGGAAGTAGGAAGGAATGGCTCCAAAAGAAGAGGTAGAAGGATGGCCTTCTATCCTCATGAAAACATAATTGGAATATCGCCATTCCTCATAGCATTGTCATGTAACAACTCTTAAATATTAGAACATTAGTGAGTACCTGTGGAGGACCTAAATTTCCTAGGACAAATTTCTCAAAACACCAACAACTCTGATGAACACACAGGGAAACCATCAAAGTAAGCAACCCTGCAGTTCTTTTATGGTATCCTAACCAACTATCTCCATCAAAAGCTGAAAGAGGAACCCTCTGGATCTATTCTAAGCCTTCTTTCAGGCCTCTTCACCTGTACACACAACCCTACCTTCTGTTCCACTGTGGTTCACCTGGCCCCTAGCTGACAGGTAATAGGCTGTGACTGCTGAGTCACAGGATCTCCAATGCTGAATTCAGTGCTATCCGCAAGGGGATGGAGAGCTTTGGAGAAAGAGTGTTTATGGAGAGGAACAGGCAGCCTTGCTTCCTGTTGAGAAGCCTCAATTCTGCCATCAGGCTCCTAATGCCTGCCCCCTCTCAACCCCTGCCTCAGGTGCTTTAGAACAAAACTCGGTGACCTGGACCAGTTTAGAGGGATAGTGATGCAGGTGATCAAATGTACAATTTGCTGGGCTTGAGGTGGTTCCTGGGATCCTGAACTTCCAGTGGAAAATCAGAAAGGTCTGAGCATACAGGTATGAATTGAGCAGCACCCTTTATGAGAAATTCAAACTTTACTGCTCTGTTGGGTTCAGATGCCCAAATCACCATCCTACTTTGTCCTATGGGGAGAGCAGTGCTGGGTGTAGGGGTGGCCAAAGGCGCTGAAGTCAAAAAGCAAAGTCCCTGAGTCCAAATGCATAGGAGGGTATGACACTGGCCTGGAGCCAAAGGAGAAAACAAGCTATTGACAGGCTAGCTTCTGCCACTTTTCAGTAGCCAGAGAGACATTAAGATCTGTGGCTTATGATAGCCCCTAATGCAGAGGTGTGAAATGCTTGGTCTGTATTACCATAGATGGGTGAGACACCTGAATTCACTTGACAGGGTTTGATAAAAATAGAGAAAGAAAAAATGGTAAACTACCAGCTGATTTAGGAAGAAATACGTAACACAATTAATTAAATTTGTAGTTAAAATTCTTTAAACAAAGAAAACTCCAGACCTAGAAAATTTCCCTGGTGAATTCTATCAAATATTTAAAGGAGAAATAAATATTTTCAGAATTTCTTCTACAATGAAGAAATTTTGGGGATACTTCCCACCTCATTTTATGAGGCCAGTATTATCCCAAAATCTTAGTCAAAGACATCATAAGAAAATAAAACTACAGACCAATATCCATCATGAACATAAACACAAATATCTGAAAAAAATTTTGCAAAGTGAATCCAGCAATATGTAAAAATGACAAAATATGGCATTTATTTTGGAAATGGAAGACTAGTTCAATAGAATCAATCAATATAATAAACTATAGGGAAAGCATATGATCATTTCATTAGATACAGAAAACAAATATTTAGCACAATTCAATATTAATTCATGCAATAAAAGAAGTCTTTCTCTACCTGATGAAATAGGTCTATAACCTATAGCTAACAGGTGAAAGACCAAATGCGTTCTTCCTAAAATCAGGACCACGACAGGAATGCCTCTATAACTACCTCTATTGGTCATTCTAGATAGTGCAATAATGGAAGAAAAAAATAAAAAAAGGCGTACAACTTGAAAATAAAAAAACTATTTCATTCATAGCTTGTCTAAGAAAAATTCAAAGGAATCTAAAAAAACCTACTAAATAGATAAGTGAGATTAACAAAACAGTATTTAAAAATCAAGTGCATGTCTGTATGCTAGTAATGAACAATTGGAAAATGAAACTTTAAAATAGACCATTTAGAGTAGCACCAAAACGCTTGAAATGATTATGTATCAGTCTAACAAGAGTATGTGCATGATCTGTCTGCTGATACCATAGAACACTGATTAAAGGAGACATTAATAAATACCACGGGGGAGCGTGGGGCTCCCCTGGATCTGAGGTTTACTGTCCGGAGCAAGCTGAGGAGGGAGCAGGGCTCTGAATCCCGCAGAGCCCGGGGTTATCACTGATGCAGGGAATAAACACGAGTCGTCGCAAACACGTCTCTGTTTGCCAGAGGAGGGGACATGGCTCTTCCCTCTAGTGGAGAAGGCCCCGAGCCCCTTTTCCCAAAGGCTTTTATTGAATGGGTTATCAGTGGGGCTAAGTAATAGGAATGTGCAGCTTATCTCATTACATCAGTATGTTAATGTTTACAGAGAATAGATGATGTTTTGAGGAAAACAAATGACAGGAACACACCAATTTACACAGGTCCAAGAGGAGACTAGTAAACATGAAAGTATAAACATGAGAGCGCCAAAGCATTTAGGGTCAGGGTCTATGAATAATGTAAAATTTCTTTCCCAGCATAAGCCGACCATTGTAGCTTTTGGGGGAGAAACAAAGCATGCTTTAAAAGAATTTACTTTTAGGCCTGATTTCCTCTGGGAACCGCCATATCCAGTTGAGGACTGCGTCCAGTATGGTTTCAAGCCTGAGCCAGGTGGGAGGAGGGAGCCGCCAAGAGACAAGGAGACTGCTTTCAGATACAATGAGGACCTCAGTCATGTCCAAGCTGAGCCGAATGGTGTGGGCCTTTTTGCCCTTTCTCCATGTCCCCCCCAGTTTTGCCCCCAAGTCCTTGTCCTGCTGCCCATACTGGCTGTGTGTGGCTTAGGTCGTCCCTCTTCCTGAGGAATCTTACCCATCTTGACTAACCAGCCATCACAGGGCCAAGCAGGGTGATGTGAGGGAGGCAGGGGCTGCACCCCTGCCAGGGGGACAGGTTTCGTCTCCTCAGAGGACTGTTTTCCCAAGGTCTCTTTCATTATTTCCAGCCTTGGGGCCCTCTCGCCTGTCGGCGGGTCTACAGTTCCTGAAACCAGACAGGGTGTTTCTCAAAAAATAAACATAGTAATGTGTTCATTAACTGGAAGACTCAATAAGGTGATACTGTCAATTCTCCCAAAATCAGTCTGTAGATTTTTAAATATAATTTGAGTCACAATCATAGTGTGTTTTCAAATAAGAATTGAAATATTATTTCTGAAATTCTAATGGCAATTCAAAGGAACAGAATAGCCTAAACCATTTTGCAAAATGGAGAACAAAATTGGTGGGCTCCCACTACCTGCCTCCAAGGCTTATTATGAAGCTGATGTAGAACGTCAATGTGGTTAATAGCCAAAGGATAGACACTTGAATCAAGGAACCGAGAACAGCTCAGAGATAGACCCACTAAACATTGTTGATTGATTTTCTACAAAGTTGCAAAGGCCATTCAATTGAGGAAGAATAGTCTTTTAAACAAATGGTGAATGGGATACCCATATGTAAAAATACTGAACTTTGGCCCTTACATTGCAATATAGACAAAAGTTAACTCAAAATGGATTATTGACCTAGATATTAAAATGTATTAAATATCTAGAAGTAAACATAGGAGAAAAACTTTGTGACCCTGAATTCAGCAAAGATTTCTTAGGCATAACCCCAAAAGCACTACTCTTAAATTAAAAAAAATTAATTGAAATTA